AGTGCACATGAATTCACTACGTGCAGGAAATGCCTCTTACTTTTCACTCAACTACTGTCAGCAGACAGTAACCAGAAATGCATAACAACAGCTGGATTTGTGAGAATTCTGCACTGATCAATATTTATTGTTTTTCCACTGCATTATTAAATAATCAATAGTATGCGTTATTTTTAAAGCTGAAAAGATGATGTAAGATTCAGTCAGCAGCTACAAAAATATTATGAACTGCGTGCTGCTTGAGCAGAAATTGCTTCAAGCACACTGAAAGCTGTGTCATTATCAACCCACTTTTGTTCTCAAGCCAGACATCTCTAGGATCAAAGCACTGTCGTCAACAGGGAATTAAAAACTACTTGAGAGTCAGAAAAACAAACAAGAATAACACTGTAGTGTCATTTTTCTCTGTACATCTTTCATAGGGAAAATGGGAGCTTTCACCACCTCTAAAATGAAAGCTTTTAACATTATTTAGACATGTACACAAATAATGAGTTTATGGTTAACAATTAGAAGAAGCTATTGCAAGAGAGATTTAAACAGAGCAAAAGAAATTCAATGTGTTATGCAGATTTTAGAATTTGTTTGGCTGGACATTATACGTAAACCAAAACAAACTTCAGTCTATGCACCTGCCTGCATTCTGCTGCTTTTTGTTAAGTATTTCAGTGGACTACTTGAAAAATGAGATTATAAACTCAGAAATCCTGCCCACACTCAAGTCAATAAAAGTTTTGCTGTTGTCTCCAGGCAATGCATAACTTCATCCCAAAACATGTGGGAAGCAATCTGTCCTGAAATGAACTACAGCACATTATCTGAAATTTGCATGGAGCTTTCAGCCAGATACATGCAGTCAGGGAGGTTTACATTCTGTGTGATGGAAAGCAACAAATAGGTCCTGAAGTTTTGAATGCATTCTTTTGCAAACAACGAGCCTGAGCCCACAAGCTGCCACCCTTTCAGGGAGCTTCTCTGTGCTAGTATTTCTCATAGCTTTAAAGTGACTACAGCACCAGGGCTCAGTTCTGCTAGATTCTTACAACTGGATATTTACAACTGAATACCCTGTTATTCCAAGGTTTTTAGAATTAGTAGTTCCCACTGAGGACAACTCAGGTGGTATAATCACAGATTTATGTACTTGGTGTGAAGCCTCAAGACACCAGGGCAGCTAGACTTTGGGAGGAAAACTTTCACTTCGGAAGAAGTGTAAATTTAAGGTATTATGGGGAAAAAATGCCATCTTAGTTGAATGAAACATCGTTACTAGATCTAGAGACTTTAGACAAGGATTTATTAGGCTTGGAATAAATACGCTGGGTGGAATTAATCTTCGATAAAGTGTGAAAATTTACTGGAGTAAAACACAGGGTGAATCATACCTGCTATTAGTATTCTACTTCATATGAGATTTTGACATATTACAAAATTTTGCTACAAGAGAAGCCAGCAAAACTTCTGAATAATTAAAAAGCAGTATTCTACCTGAAATGGTTTGTGATAATGATGGATTTGTGTACTATTTTATAAAGATATAACCTATTTAAACCAAAAAGGTCTAAAAAGATTACAACTTCTTGCGCTGTAGCCTGAAATTTTAAACTTACTAGGTTTATAAAGTTACAGTAGAAATTTAAAAACAGTAGCATGATGAAACATTAAGAAACCTGCTATTTAGAGAGAAATTCTGTACAATGAATCTTGTTGATAAATATCCAGAATTACCCACCTTTTCAAACAGCAAGAACCTGGAGAGTCTCAAGATGACTAAATAAGCCGTGTGCAACTGCTAACGTAGAAAGGCAACCTTCCCATTAAGTCTACTTAAAGGATATTTAAAGCTCAGCCTCTCCAGTTGTATCACCTCAGGCCAGTTATGTACTGATGATTACAGTTTAAAGGCTTTATTTTAACTGCCCTCTTTCAGGACAGAGAATGAAGAACATAAACCATTAGGCAAACTAGATCTTACCTGCCCATTCCATATAGCAGCAATTTTTGGATGGTTTCCAAATGTTAAAGTTTAAACATACCGGTGAGGTGACTGATGACTGATTTTTTCCAACTAGCAAGTTGACATTCTGACAAATAGCACTGTCAATATTAAGTCTATCTCATATTCTTAATGAAATTTAAAAATCAAACAAATTGATTAGTGTCCATGCTGGCTCTTCCTTGGATATACCTTTATTATTCACCTGTTTTAAGACAATAAATTTAAAAATCAAAAAGATTAAAAATTGTGTCTGATTTGCACTCTTAAAAAATTTGGGGAAAATTTATGAAAACACATCTGAAAAATTGTGTAGATGTGCTGAAGGTCACATCTACTATTGAGACTCTACCGAAGTCACTGAAATCATGCCATTAGATGTTTGCATCTGATAGTCAAGAGGATATAAGACAAAATGAGTTAAAAAAAAAAGTCTCAACCCAGCACAGGTTTGGGTAGAAGTCACCTGTCCTAATCGTTTCTATTAGAATATTATGGGAACATGAGGTTTAAAGGGACTAGGTATGCTGCTGAATCCTGCTCCCAGAAACTGCAGGAGTCACATGTCTAAACACATCCAAAGATGCCAAAAGCACCTTGCACATCTCTCCATCAGCCACTTCAGTGCTTTCCCACTGCAGTAAGGATCATGAGTCAACATTTTCTCCTTTACTATCATTCTAGGAAAGTTAACCTCAGTAACGTCTCTTTCATGTATCTGCCTTCAGCAAAACTGCTCCTTATATCCAGAAGAATCACAGATAAACAGAATTTCGTACCTGCACACTGGTTGATGGCATTAATGTCAGCAAAAGCAAGATAGCTTTCTGAGAGTAGACATCGATCATTTTGTTGTTTGCATACAGCGTTAATAGCATACTTGACACAAGCCTCACAAAGTAACCTGGTATCAAATTGTGAGAACAATTTTCCTTGATCAACAATTGTTGTCATAAAGACATAGACGCCTTCTGACACTTCTGTGTGATGGAGATGTAAGAGTGGACTGCAATTGTACTCAGACCATCCCAGGTAACAGACATACAGCTCCAGTAAAAAAAGGCTACATACAAATTACAGCAACAACACCTGCTTGCATCAAAATATTTACAGAAATTCATGAGGAGCCAAGGACAGCAAGGACAGCATACTGACAGGAAGACACACAATGCTTCAGCAAAGCAACTGGACCATTAAATAAATGTTTATGGTGCAATACAAGACTGACAGTATTCACTAGTGTTCAACATAGTTCCAAGAAGCTTCTTTTAAATGATCCCATACTGAAAATACAACTATCACATCACTCAAAGCACTACAAATTGATTTAGAAGCTACTTTATTTAACAGGTTAAAATACTGGTCTACCTACATGTCTGTGGTATTTTGTACAGCTTTTATTGTTATTGAACAAACAACAAAATTTTTCCTTCACATATTTTGAATATATCTCTGTGGATATCACCATGAATATTTCACTGTACATAGTAAACACCGAGAACACTGGATAGCAAAATGATTCCTTCTTTACATTTACAGATTGCTCTGTGAAGTTAAACAAGCAGTACTAACACTGTGTAATAAAAAAGATGCAATCAATTGTTCCTTCCTGTAACATTTAAATTAACGAAATTAATCAGAATCCCTGAAATATTTCAAAGCTTTAGTACTCACTTTTAATAACTATGTCTAATAGACTAGCTAGAAAAATAACATTCTTGACTGATGAATTTCTAAGTACAGTCATCACTGTGGTGAGATGAATGCTGTTTCTCCAGTTGTTCTGACAGGGTCCAGTAATAAATAAAGTTACTGTTTGTTGCATTCAGACTACAGGGAGAAGGCTGGACAAAGCAAAAAGAGGACCACTTCTGCTTCTAAGGATCCAGCAATTGAAATGAAATAAAGATGGAATGTAGGGAACTAAGCTTGGTTTATCAGTAAGACCAGAGCACAGTAGCTGCATTCACTCCTACTTAGTGTCTGGACTGGAAGAGGGAAACCAGCGAAAAAGAAAGGGAGAAAGATGCGCACGTGTGCATACCCAGTGTATATTCTGAAATACACTGCACTAGAGAGGGACCCAAACAAGGAGATGACTCCTGTTTTTCAGAAAAACAAGCTTGTAATTCAAACCTGGATCATGACACGAATTTTGTATCCGAGTTTTCTATTGTAATGACTGATACGAAAATCCAGACTTGTCACTACAGAGAAAAAAACCTGAAATCTGTCTTCAAGAAGAGCACTTGAATCCTTCCCCTGGCTGAAGAGGTGTCTGGTGCACCCGAACTGCAATGCAAGCATTCCGTGAGCCAAGCCAGTGTGCCTACAAGGTGACAATGTAGGTTTGCAACAGCAATTCTCTTAGACTGATCTCAATTCCCTGGTTTCAATGTAGTTTTTTTATATTGATTTTTTTTTTTAAACAATTGTGGAAGGACCCTCCCTTTCCTCCTACTACAGTCTTCTGGAAGAACTGTCATAAAAGACTTATTCTATGAAAGGAATAAAGGTATAAGAAGTATAGAAGGGTGGAAGCTACTGTAAAACAGATCTGGTATATCAAGGCAATGAATAGAATTACCTTGGAAAAAAAATCTCATTACAGGAAGTGAAGGCAAGGAAAATTGCAAAGTAATAACATTTATCACATGGCAGTCTTCCCCTCTGAGTGGTGCTGAAGGGCACCAGTGCAAACTTGTCAGATAAATGCTTTTCTTGTCAGGTTTGGGCTAAAAAACTGTGGTGTGGTTAGCTCTGTGTCCAGCTGATGGTATACAGTCATCGTTGTAGGACTGTAATGAAGGGAGAAGAACAAGAAGAGAGAGAATGAAATCACAAACTGAAATTATTCCTACTTTTAAAGTTGTAACTCAGGAAAAAGTTTTTAACAGTTTAATTCACTGCAAGCTGCCATACTATTCACCAGCTGTAGAAATGAACCATGAAAGTCTGCCTGTCTTTATATAGTCTCTGAGGAAATACCAATGCGGTGGTTTTATTAAACCCGTGTGAGAAAGCCAAGTTTGAAGCTGCTGGGGACTTGTATCGTTTCCAAGGCATATGGAGAGGGGGTGAAAGGAAACGTCACTTGAAAGAGATATTTGGTATCGAGCATCAACTGTGGAACATCCTCACGATTGTTTAGCATAGCCTGAAATTATAACAGAAAGGGTAAGAAAATATTGTATTAAGAATCAAAGCAAAAACAGTACATTGTTTGCTTCCTATTGCAAATCTTGCTTTCACGTGATGTTAAGGAGCCTTGTTTTGATCAGTTCCAAATGTCTAGAAGCTGAGCAACTTAGTAATAACACAATGTAAAGGTCAAGAATAACTACATAGCATCAAAAATGTGTGTATGAAATATCCTGTAGCTTGAACATGAGAAATAATAGTTGTAGCCCTTACCTGGACTTTACGAACAAATGATGGAGTCACTCTTTTCTCAAAATCATCTATCGGAGTGTATGAGTTGAGGATCTTAACTATCTGTTCAAATTACAAAAGACTATTTTAGTATGTCACAAAACGGGAGAAGACAAAAAGAAGAAAGCATTAATATGCCATCTTCATTGACTTTTAACTGAAGTTTCAGCAAAGAATTTTACAATAAAGAGATAATTTTGACTGGTCACCTAATGAGTTGTTACGTATATGATAATTTCTATGACTCATTTCCAGAGGTGTCAGCAGGACCAAGGAGATGTAGAAAAAGCTGAATCAATTGAGGGAAACAACAAAAAAAACCCCCTGTGACAAAGAAAATACAGTGTGGAATAAAAACGTGGGACAGAACAAAGCAGGCAAGTATTCACCACAAAAGCAGTGAAAATGCTAACAATCAGGAATAAGGTGTTTAAAAAAAAATCAGTTTAACAAGTGGTGATGTGGAATGATGACGAATGCTATTTTTAGCAAATGAAAGGCCAATAGCTCTTTGCAACAAATTATTTTAGATAGCTAAGATTCTGCAAATGGTACTGCCAGAAGAAAAGAGACAGTTCATCACCTGCACAGTAGAAAGAGATGTGCAGTGTTCACATATTTCCTTGGCGTCATCATCTGTGATCTTTTTGACCTGAAGGAGCCAGGCTGCTTGAGATAGAGGCTCCAAAGTTTCTTTGGCATTGCTGCTTTGAAGATTCTTGTCCTTAAGCCATTCTTCCAAGTAGCTGATATTACATCTGTGTTAAACCGTGAACGGACAACAGAAATGTCAGGTTCCCCCTAACAAGTAAGGTACATTAAAGACTTATAAAGAAGGAATGCTCCTCTAATGCATATCTGTAGATCATAAAAATCAAACAACTCATAGCTTATTGATCTGTAAATTTAATCCCTTGTATATTTCAATCCTTTTTATTTTTTTTTTTATTTCTTAAAGCTTGGATAATAGAAAGCAAGTTATTAGTTGAGCTGTTGTTTACAGAAAATTACTAATATATACTGGCATTGCCTATTACACTGTAGCACTATCTGTCTTTAAAGTGTTCATTGACAACTGAGCTTATACAGGAAATGAGAACAATCTTTGCACATTAAAAATCAGGGCCAGGCTTACAACCAATGGCCTAAAAGTTAAAGCAGCTTCTTCTAGTAATGTTCCCAGATGGGTCAAGAATTTATTGATGCCAAATCTAAACCCTCAAAGGCTCTTTCTCAGTGCCTTTCTCATCACAGAGCACAAAAAATGCAAGTCAGCTTTTGTCTGTTTGCCAGCCAGGGGATGCTGCACCTGTTTACTATAGTAAGAAAGATTAAAAATACTGTTCATCACATCATGAGGGAACTAGCATGGAAAGAATCCTAAGCATGTCTGACTTTAAACTCCAGAGTGTAATTTTCTCTGTCTTTTCCTCTATTTGTGTTTCCATGGAAAGAACAATTTGTGATATGTTGAGAAAGCTCAGCCCAAAAGGCAAAGATCTATTTTTTCAAGAAGAATGAAAAACAATTAGCTGTCTCCAGTAGACAGGTTACAGAATATCGTAGAGACGTAGAGATAAAGGACGTTACATAAAAGTGTTAAAAATTCTCAAGCGACTGCTTGTTGAAATTTTACTGGCTTTACCTTATCTGCATTCCTTTTCTACAAGAGCACATGTCCTTGCGGAGGAAGAGACTATTGAGGGTGATAGAGCCAATCAGAAAGAAAAGTTGCTTCACTGCCTGCTTTAGAAGCTCAGAGTCCAAGCCATTCTGGCACATAGTACTATAAAAATAGCTGAGCTGTTGCAGGATAGAGGTCATTGTGTAGGTATCCGTGTCGTCTATACTAGAAGAACGTTTACGGAACCCTGTAGGTTTCAAGCCAGAAATTCCCTGAAGACTTTCATATTCCAGCATGCCCGGTACTGAAAGACAACAGAAAATAACAGATAAAACCAACACTCCTAAGGCTCCTTTTAGTTATGTTAATTATTGAACAAAACCTACTTTTAGGATATCTTAAAAGTTAAATGATACAAGAAAAATAAGATACTGACAAATGCTTCTGGAGCACCAAAATTTTAAAAAGCCTTCTGTTTTTGTAGAATGTTGATTGGTTTCAAAGCTTTATCCACCCCAGGGAATGCTGTGAGGAAGAAGTCTTTCCAAACCCTGTGGGGATATACCATTCAGTGGAATTCATACGTGCAGAAACACAGATGCAGGTACGCATATGTATAAATCAACAGGAGAAGGAAGTCTGTCCCATCCTTTGCCTCCATGTATAAGCTTTATTCATATACTTCACAAGCTCCATTTAAGTCTGTTTGGGTGGCTGCCATCTTACCGATCATGGGCTGAATGCTGTTCTCCATTACAATAATGAACTGGTGATAGATACGAATGGCCAAATCACTAAGAATTTGTCTGTATTCTGAGAGATCAAAATGCTTCAAACAGTTGTTATTCTGACGTGGAGTGTTACACTTCATAAATTCCTACAAGTAAGTTGTAAATAGAATTATTAGAAACTTGTGTGAAGTCTTGAATGTTGGTTGCAAAGATAGATGAAAACTCTAAATTCTGTATTCAGTTTCCCTACTGTTGCAACTAAATGATAAAAGACTGTTATTAATTACGTTTAAATGTTTTCCGATCTCCACTGTTCTTTACATGTTATCGATATGACCACCAGAGGGAGTAATGTTGCTCAGACAGTACACCGTTACTGTGATCCCAAGGCTTTATGGTACCTCTTTGCTTTAATCTTGAAGACTATATTCTTATATGCCTATGCAATTTCAGTTCAGTCTACCTAAGTTTATAAAATCTAGAAATAAAATACTTTAAGAGTTTGCAATTCAAAAGAATTTTGTATTTCAGGATAAAACTTAGCTTAAATAAGCAAGTGAAATAAGGAAAAATTGGTATTTTATCATTTTGCTCCTTTCCTGAGGTTTTCTTCTGTAATCTTATACGATTATGAAATAGTAGAACTGGTTTTTATATATATACACATGTATCTAGACATCTGAAGTCCAGCTCACATTAAACTCCTGTGGAACAGGTCAAATTAAGTAGCAGTTTCCACATCATGTTTTTAACCTACTTTAGCACTTTAATGTTTCCTTCATTTCACTTGATCTGTTAGCTCTATACTGTCTCGTTATTTGTATAAGACGTATAACACCACTGCAGAGCAATACGAATATCTAAATATCTGGAAGGAACTGGTGAGCTGGTGAATAATTACATATCTGTTATCAATATTTTAAATTCCAATTAAAGTCTGCCCCAAGTAAAGTAGTGGAATTATTTGATTAAATCATTCCTACCTCTTCCCCGCTGTACTGCTTCAGACAGTTAAGAAAATAATATGTATTAGAAAGCCAAAAGGACAACATCTCAAAGTCTTCTGAATGTTCCTGAAAATTATAAGTAACATAATCTTATAATGGTATTGTATTGTGAAGTTAATTTAATAACTAAACTTAAGATCGTTACAGAGCCCATATATAAAACAAGGAGCATACAGCATCTATAACATGGTAGCTGAACAAACCATGCTGTGCTTTCAGGCTAATATATACAGATAGCAAAGATACCTCTTGTATCTGGTAAATGCTGCTTAAGTCTTCTTAAATGACAGACTGGCTAAATAAGTCTGACCCAAACAGTTTTACGCATTTCTATGTATAGTGTTGTAACATACTGGAGGCCTTCCTGCAAAAAAGCCTGAACAGTGTCTGTATACACAAACAAAACTGAACTACATACAAACGCAATTCTAACTACATGTAAGTATGTTTTAATTTTGTTAGCTAAGTAAGCACAATCTTTTGTAATGGATAAACTGTAGTATAAATTTGTTTGTGAACAAACTATAGGCATCCTCTATGCAACAAATTCAACTGCATAAACCCTAGCCCATTCCTGCCTGTGCTACAAAGCATGCCTAGTGTTTTATTGCATTATAAATCCACAAAAAAGCATTCACATAGCTGAATTTGTTCTGTGGATGAGACAACAGGCTAACAATTCTTGTTTATAACTTGATTTTGTAAACTGACTGGCAACATAACATTAATCATTTGGGTACTAATGCTGACATCACACTATCAGAACAGCAGTGGAAAAACCTCTTAAAATTCCAATACCAGCCTGCTGCCAAACATACTAATCTTCATTTCTGTCCATTTAACTTCCACCAGTGCTGAAAGCACAGGTGTACATCACCTAATTAGGTACTCATTGTAAAGTGTAAAATACTTTAAATGATTTTGTCAAATCAACACTTCAAATGAAAATAATTTCTGTTAATACATTCTGCACATTCTGTGTTCAGCACAGTAGAGCCTTACCTAGAGGCTTTACAGGGATACTACAACCCACTTCAAAAAAGAGCATCACTCATGTTTATCATTCTATTCTAGGAATACTAGCAAATGAAAGTGTGAGCGTTTCCCAGGTACTATGCATTCATCTTGTAAACCTCACATTAAAAAATCAAAAAGTATGGTACAGCCAAACAGAATTCCTACCTGAACAACTTGTTTGATACCATCAATGGTTACATTCATGAAAGATTTCAGCATGTCAGCATCATTTAGATAATCTGCATACCTCACACACATGAATAGGATGTGAGCTGGAAGGCCAGGTATCATATTAACTACAACTCCACGTGGCTTTAAATCTGCATAAAGGAGAGTCATCAAGTTTATCATATAAAAATTCAACGATTCAATGTATCATTCTGAAAAAGACAAGCATCATGGGGTTTATTTCTTCAGTGATCCATCACTTTGTCATTGATTTAGTGATTAATTGCTTGTTTCTGAAAACCTCTGTAACAGTATTGTTCATGTAAGAGTATTAAGTTTTCCAGAGTAATAGGAGAGTATTGTAGCAAATTCTAAGGTCCAGCATGGGCTACGCCAGACAGGATAACTTCAAAAAACAATTTGCATTTAACTACCCACTGGAGGCCCCACCAAATTCTGGCATTGCTTAATGATACACCTTTGTTCACAAAGATATAAACATCCATAAGCATGAACTCAGAGAGAAGAACAGGAAGATGTTGTTTTCAGGCAGTATTTCATAAGGCTACTAACGTACATGGAAAATTAGTCGAGTTTACTATTAATTGTAAGCTAATGCAAAAAGCTGGTTTGGCAGCGAGATTGATACTGCGAGGTAAGTCCGAGGAAGGACAAAATTCCTCTAAATGAGACACATGAAAAGTACACTTCCTTTCAGTGAAGGGAATGATGTGGGAAGGACAGACAGGAGAGTAATCCATCACACATGGATAATAAGCCCAGTGACTTACAGACTTAGTGGATGACCAGCAAGAAAGTAAATTCAAATCCCTGGAGTGCTCTTGAGATTTATAGCTTTATAAGTGAATAAATAATAAGAAAGGTAATAGAGTCAGCATTATGTAGAGTTAAACAAATTATTTTTACACAGATAAAGCACTTCTATATTTGAAATGACTAGCAGTAGAAAAAGCAATATAGAGCCTCCAAGCTGTATCAAGTGTAAGAGAGTGGAAAACAGGCAACTTTGAACATAAATTATATATGGCGCCTTGTTGTTTTTGTTGTAATATTCTACACTGAACATCGCTGACTACTGATAAAATTGGAAGCATTACTAAAATACCAAGGATCAGATTTTGAATTATCCTTTCTTCGTCCTCTTTTTTGTACTCCATCATTCCAATGTACTCTTTGGACAAAGTTGGCACATGAGCTTCAGCTGTCAAACACAAAAGCACTGTTACCTGCAGCTAATGCTCACATTAGAAAAAAAAAAAAAAAGGATAAAAGCAGTTTTCTCTGTATGGGCCCTGTTCATAATAACACTCTTAGCTTGTGGTTCCAAGCATTATGAGTTAAATGACATTTATATTATTAATGCTATTAGTTTCACTGGATTCAGTGGAATTACTTGGCAAATAAACAGCAACAATGCAGCTCTACATGAGTCACCTCTGCAATGCTTTGAAGTGTATTATATAATGAAGAATTATTTACTATATAAGAGCTTTGTACAAACTAATTTCAAATCAGGAACCATCTGCCATTCGAAGGTAATGGGAGGAGCTACTCATCTGATGCAAAACGAACATTCTGTTGGCTCAGAGACAGTTTGTGTAAGGGTATTAACTTTTGTTCACAGAACCTGATGCCCCTGCCTTAATCTTGTATTGTATAGTCTAGGCACCTATTATTTAACTGGAAAAAAAAACCAAATGAAACGGCTTTTACATAATTTCTGTTGATGGTTCCCTGTCACTTTTTTCTGAGGTTTTAACATTTCTAACCCCATCTCAAACCCTATCTTTTACTTTTTTTAAAAAATATACTGTCTTTCAAACACACATTGAACATCCAAATCTATATTAAAAAAAACCCAAACACTTAACAATATCTTACATTTTTCAATAGCCTTGGTAAGAGTTTTGATCTGATCCTCCAATTTTTTTATTATTCTGTCTTTCATGTCTAGTTTTTCTTCAAGATCCTGTAATAATCAAAATCAGTGAGATTAGAGCAACCACAATTAAAAAACGTCTTCTACTGCTACATGTTATTGCCACAATTCAAGAGCACTATGATGTGCTTTTACTTATATTTGGTGGAAGAAACATGAAACCTTTGTATCTTTTTTGCTCTCCCAATGAACTGAGAAAACATCCTGTGCATACCGTGGAACCATTATTTCTTTTTTTTATCCTGCATTTCAGGTACAGTTTCTTAATGACAGTTTGATTTCCTCACCATTTTTTCCACAGTAAGTCGAGTTGTTTCTTGCTTAATCTTGCTTTTTACTTCGTCCTGGATTTCATCTTGCATCAGACCATTGCTCAGCCCTTTAATTTCTTGGGTTATGACTTTCAGTCTCTCTTTTTCTTTTATGTCTCTTTCATTCTGGGCCTCACTTGTTCTAAGAACAGACAGACAGGAAGCTTTGCCTCTCATTCTTCTTTCATTAAAGCATAGTTGGATCATATTTGTCCATTACTTATTAACCGTATGCACAGCTGTAAGGCTAAGGCAAATCTTCATTGAATGTGGCACTTCATAGAGTTTAAGTGACTTCGTTACCCCAGCTTATGGCAACTACATTTCTTACATTAAAAAAAAGGGAAATATAAATACATATTTACCGTCTTTGTGTTCTGTCCCCTTCTAGCTCATAATGCAGCCGATCAGACATCTCTTTCATTTTTTTTCAGTAATAATTAGCAGGAAACCCCAAAAGAAAAGAAAAACAACAAAATCACATTTGTTTACTGTTCTGTGTTAGTACTTTGTAAATCTCTTCTTACGCTCATAATTTTGTTTTATCTAACAAAACTGAATGACATTCCAGATAATGTAGCAGAGAAATATCTGACCTCTCCACACAGAAGATTATATGGGATGGGGAATTTTGACACTAGTAACTTCTTGCTGTTGGCAGTAAAACTACTTTCAAATTTTAAATCAACTCTCTCAGTTAGAGAGACTATCTTTTCCTACATTGAGAAGAACTTTCAAACAAGCAAATTTAGCAAGAACTTTTCCCTCTGTCTCCCACTCTGAATTTTTCAACACCCTCTGAAGTCCACTTCATAGAGTATGCCTTAAGTTCCAAAACATCTTTCCTTTTTATGCTTGTTTCCAAAGGGCATACTCCATTACACACATTCTTAGCAGAGCCCTACTGAATACACTTGCAGACATCCAAACCATAGAACTGAATGCCCTAAAACAGGTTAAAAAACCCCCAAACAAATACTTGCATACATTTTATTCTATAATAACAAAGATATAAACTACAGAACACATTTTTTATTGTGTTTCTTACATTTTACTAAAAATAAAGCAAGTAATAAGGCAATGAAGTTATCATGTAATATTGCTCCAGCTTTTAAAAATTCAAGTACAGAGAATTCATCACATTCATCTTAAACAACTGTAAGACTAGGAACCATACTGGTACTTTACCTTTCAACTTCACAGTCTGTTCTTGAAGACGGTTTTCAAGATCTAATTTTTGATTTTCAAGTTCAGAAACTTGCTGTTTAAGATCTGGGATCACCTTTTAGAGAAAAAGGAGATTTGTGTATTTCAGCACCTTGCTTCTTTTCAAATGTCTGCAATCGTTCCTATGACACTGGAAGACCTTCAACTGCAAATAGTCAAGGACTGGGGAGGCACTGTCAGGGAGTACTGCTACCTGCTTGCCTGACTTGTGTAACATTTCTGAAGGTATCTGCTGCTGGCCACTCTTAAAAATGAAATAGTGTGCTAACTAAATGCTTGGACTGGCCCAGCACTACCATTCTTCTGTTCTAGTTTAAAGGAAATTACACTCTGGCTTTAATTTCCCTAGCTCAATTAACACTGGAAAAAACCTCAATATATTATAAAATCATTTTTTAAAAATAACATTATAAGAATTTTCCCTATATTTTCAATTTTAGTAATTTGTTTTATGTTTTGAATTTTTTGTTTTGAAAATATTTCTTTAGGTTTTTTTCACTCAGCTGAAAAATCATATGGTACACACTGTCTTCTGGAATAACAGCACTTCCTCTGTTCGATAGGTTTTACACAGTACTAGTAATTAGAGTCTTAAGCCTTGCCTTCAGTTTGTTAGCAACTTGATAAGCCTAACTGCCCTCTCGTGGGGAGAGCTGCAGAACTGCACAAATCTGTAACCACCGTAAATCCCCCAAGCGCCTGGTTTTTCACTAGCAATACCAAAAGAAAAACATATCGCCTGACCAAAACCAGCTATTATTTTAAATTATCAGACGAGAAGTTTAAATTAGGCAGGTATGAAAAAAGGTATGGTGAGCTAACCTTCTGGTCTCTGCTAAAGCTCTGAAACATTTTTACTTAAAATTCTGTGTAAATAAAACCCTAAATAAATATTTTTTCTTCATGTATATAAAGCTGCATATCCGTAGAAAACATTACACCCCTCAAAAGTTCATCACATTGTTCAGAAACTGCAAAAAGCACAACCAAAGTATTTGTATGAGCTCAGCAATGGACATCCTGGCAACATTTTGAAGTCCGAAACATCTTTCATAAAATCTGAATATTCAGCCACGTAATTGTACAAGGGTTCAAACACATTCTAAAGACTCTCAGTGTCTCCCTAGGTACTGAGCAGAGCCAAAGCCTGTGTGTGCACTACACACCAAGTCAGGGTTTGTAAAATGGTTGCCATTCTGTGATTAGAACCAAACCTCAATTCATGTTTACGCAAAAGTTTTTCTCTGTGAGGCTGCCCCAACAAGCTGTACACTCGGACAATAAGTTTGTCTGTCTCCTAACACACTACCCCAGCATGCAGAGAAGCAGCTTGTTTGGATGTGCAACCTTAGATGGCCTATCCGTTTGAGCCTTGAGATTTCAAGGACACATCCACAAGATTTTTAGGGTTTTGTGCCACAAACACCTTTGGCTTGTATTACTAAATAATAAAAACATACTTTGCTGTACTACACCTTGATCTTACCAGGTTTTCTGAAGTTAGCCTGCTAACTTCAAGTCGAATACCATCATTTATGTCATTTTCCTCTCGAAACAATTTTTGTAGATGATTAATATCTTGGCTAAGATGTTCAACTTTAAAGTTCAAACCTTCAATCTCCTTTTCATATATTTCTTTCTGAGACTGGAAATGACTTTCCAATACTCTGTTAAAAAAAGGGAGAAGGAACATGGCAGATGTAGCACGACCTTGATGTAATGGGTCAAGTTTAATACAAAGTGAAAACAAGGTACCGTGGTTAACACGCAGACATTCCATTACATCACCTGTGCATTAAGGGAGTTGAAAGTTATGCACGATATCTCAAAGGAAACACATTTCCCCAATATACACACTTATCTCACTGACTTAGTAAAAATTTGTTAAAGGGATTTTAAGCTGCTCAGCCAGTCATACAATGTAGTGTTTGTTCGTTTCTTAAACAGACGTTCATTATTGCATTGTCAAATTAGTTTCTCACTGATCTTTCCATTTATTTTCTAGATCACAGCTTGGAGTTATGAAAACACTGAAGAACTGAACTAACCTTGTAGCCTTTTTCAAGCCCTCATAAGCAAACCACAGTTCTCCATCCTCATTTAAGTGTTCCAAATCCTCCGTAGAGAGTCTAGAACACAAGGCAGTATCATTAGTGTGCAGGTAAATAAAATGCATTTCTTAAGCTTTTTTTAAAGACACCTCAGAACAAAATTACCTGCTTCTTACATCTTCAAAATCATAACTTTCAAGAAGCTGTTTTGTAACTTCTGACATTTTTTCTGGAAAAAACAAAGTTTATTACATGAATAATTTTCTCCACACATTTCAAATCAAGTTTGATTATAAAAATCAAGCCAACCTCTTCCTAAATCTACAAGGTTCCTTCCTGGTACCCAGTAGTTACATCTGATTTACTACAAGAACATGATGAGAGATTTGGTTCTACTTCTGGACATGTAAGATGCACTACATGGGTATACCACCAATATTGGTTTTTTTCTAAACACATCAAACTTTCAATGCTGTTACATCTTTTGTTCTGAATCTGGACAACTGCTAGAGCTGTACAGATGATTTGTCATCTAGTGCTAGGTTACTACATTAAATGCTGCAGACACAGGTTTGCTCTATGACATTGTCAGCATTGAACAAAATGCACAACAGTAGTGCTTCTTATTAAGTACTTTTTCCCAAAGAGAACCCAATTCAGCAAGTTAAGGTATTTGACATATATTGGACCTAAGGCTAAAGACAGGATGAATGAAAGCTAGAGAATGTATTGTTTCTGCATTCTTGGGTCTCTACAAGCTACTTGTTAAATTCTAAGTGAACTTTAAATTATTGGTATTGATTTTTAAACACAAAGGAGAAATGTTTGAAATCAGAGTTTCTTCAAAGGGGTACCCCAGATCTCAGTATTCAGTGAGTGTTCACCTGTTGGGTTTTTTTTATCCCTTGTGAGTGAAGGTATGAATAGAATGAAATCACTATGGGACAGGAAAGACAGACAGGTTTTTGTCAAAGCTAACATGGAAGAAATCAATTTAAACTGGCCTGGTTCACACTGTACTTGGTAAATTCTCTGAATCGACTATGTAGCTTACCCCTCAATTCTCGTTTCTGTGACTGGGACTGCTTTTCAACATCCAGTTTTTGTGTCTGCAGCAGTTCAATTTCCTTTTGCAACTCAGGTATTTTCTGAATCAGAAAAAAATTATACACTAAGACAAGGAGTGAATTACAAGGGCTGAGTATCAGTTAAATCATAAAGATAATTATAATTAAGAACAAGTTCATATGGTAAAAGGCTTAAAATGTGTTGTGTTTAAAGCATCTGGTTCTCAGGCATCAGAGCAGAACAGTAATGAGATGTAGTGAAAACACATGGGTTTGTGTCATGGAATCAACTCAGAAAAAAATGTGACTTTACACAAATGTACTGTTTAAGTTTATGAACTACATTTATGAAAAATCCCCCGAGAAACAAATACTTTATTGGAAAAAGGAAGAACAAAATATCCACATATTTAAACATATAAATACCCAGGCACAATTACTCTTCAAAGCATGCACTTATTTCTGACACCAGTAACTTACTCATACTTTGTACTACATGAAAACAATGCAACATAGTGGTGTATCAAATACAGCTTATTAAACACAACTTCTTCTAAAAATGCACTGGAGATAAAAAAATCAGTGAGGATAATAATGAAATAAAACACCCACATTCCCTACTTGATTTATCTATCAAAGATTCCAAAATTACATGTGTCATGCTTTACCTGTGCTTGTTTTGTAAGTTGTCCTACTTCCATTTTCAAGCCATCCTGAATGACAATTTCTTGCTGAATTTGATGTCGTAGCTGAGTTTTTTCTTCTTCCAGAATCTTTATTTCTCCCTTGAGCAATTCAATCTCCTTTTCATAGTCCTGCTTCTGATTTTGGAAATTCTTCTCAAGTATCCTAAACAAGAGAATGAAAAGATGGTTTTATTTTCCTACGTTCATAAGTGAAAGAGTGGGTGTTGGTTTTGTTTTAATATAAAGGTCATGTTTCATTGAAGAAAACTTAAATGAACCATAATTACTTGAAAATGCTATCCTACATCCTCAGAATCAATCCACAAAATGGATGATAATGGAATGACAATGTCCCTAGATT